CTGACCATATGCGCTTATATTCCTACCTCTGTTCAAAATATATCCTTCATTTATTTTATTGATTTTCCTGGTTGGTAGCAATTATCAACCTTGCATGTTGAAGGAGATACAATGTATTTATTGTGTTGGTTTTATTGTGCGGTTTATATTTATTTCCATCTTGTTATATAATCTTCAGAAAAACCTTTTCTGCTGGATTGATGGTTCTCAACTCATCTCAAGCAAATGGAAGTTGAGGTTGTAAAACCAAATCATGTAACTTAAAGCTTTCTAGTAGGTTACTCTGACCGTGAGGTCATTATCAAGGTAGTTTGCAATCTCAAGCAAATAGAAGCTGACATTGTAAAACTAAATCACATAACTTAAAGATTTCTAATTGGTTACCCTCACTGTGAGGACAATATCAAGATAGTTTGCAATTCATTACAATAATTGCTTGAAGTTCCATGTCTTCCCTGTTGCTATATGTTTAAGTTCATTTCTGCTGTTTTGCATTATTACCGCATTTAGTCTTGTCATGCCACAAATGGATTAAGAATTTTGTAAGACTGACATGATAATTGGTGATTTGCTTGTAGTAGTATTATGAAGAACTAAAGTGTTCTGCTCTGCAATCCAAGTCATGAAGCACATATTTATGTCACATTAATGCTATGCGGCTTGTAGACAATTCAAGAAGGTAAAAAGGGTAACTTGCAAAATACATCCATCATCCATCTAGCAATAGTTTCAATTGAAGCCCCCTCTGTTCGTGAAAAATACTGATTATGTAGTATAGATATCTCACCTTGATGAGGCAGTTTTAAACTGTGATTGTGGGCTAATTTTATTTCTTACAATTTCCATTTGTGCAGTATTTATTATATGCTATCTGTGATGGTCTCAGAGATATTAATTTACATGGTAGGTACTCTTGGATAGAGGGATAACAATTACAAGGCTGAATGAACTCAAAAGAATCTCATCTCTGCTCTAGCAACAAATGGGCAAAGGGCTAATGCCCTTGACATATATGAAGAAATCAAGCAATCTGGAGGTTAAAGCTGTTTTATCTTTCATTGTAAGTTCTCAACTGCACCTCTGTATCAGTTTTCTTTTATGGTGGTGATTTGCTTGAGCAACTCAAGGACAAGTTTTGTGATCATGGTTGGCTGCTGAACTTTTTGATCAGATTTATTACAAGACTCATCTCAATGCTGTTTGTCTTTATTAGAATTATTACAAGACTGGAGTATATCCATGCAGTATTAGTTTTGGTTCTGCCCACCCTTGACAAACTTACTACATTGAATTCCAGCTTTGTGGTTCCATTATCTTGATTGAGTAGGCATTAGCCATTATTGCCCAGCAGATGTGTGGTTTGCATGAATTTGCTACAAGCCATAAAGAATGACATGGGCATTTGCCTTTGTCGACATGTCCTGACATGGGCATTTGCAATGCTCCAGTAATTCATGCTCTGAAAATTTCTATTTTAAATAAAGCATTAATTTTTTTTCCATTTTTACCCCTATTAAGATTTCCTTATTGTTATTTGTCATACTTTCCAACTTTGCTAATTGAGTCTTCCATGAAAATTGAAAAGTACTCCTAATAATTGTGTTTTTTATGAGTTTTTTCATTTTTGTAGTGTGAAAAGTAAATTGAAACTGAGGGAATAATTCATCAAATCAATCAAACTTTGATAATAAATTTTTAAGCTACTAGGTTTCTGCTTTCTAGAGAGAGCTGTGGGCCATATTACACAGACCTTGGATCTCTTCTCTCATCAGGACTGTTGACGATCCAACATGGAGGATAAAGCAGGCTGCTGGTTACTTGCACCACCACCACGGTCCCCTCCATTGTTGTTCTTTCACAACCCAGATTTTCAGAAGATGGCCTTCTCCTCAATCAGAGATGAGAAATATCACCTTGTCAAAACATCACCTCCACATCTTATGGCAAAGAAATCCAGGCTTACTTTCATGGCTGGTTCATCTTACTTGACAAAGATCAGAAGAATCATCATACTCTAATCTGGAATCTGCTGTACCATGAAAAAAGGTACTCTCTCTGGAATCCCCTGACCTTGGAGTTGATATGCTTACCTTCTCTTACATTGAATGCCAAACAAAAATTCAAATTCTGCATATTATCTTCTCCTCCTGGTAATCTCGACAGCATGCTCATATTATTTGAAAAACAAATCCCATCATTAATCTTTTGTAGGATTGGGATTGGAAATAAGGAATGGAACCATCAAAGTATCAAATTAAAGTTGGAGAAGAATGATTTTCTGATTAATGCTGTCATCTGCAATAGAACATTATACTGCTGTACTTTTAATTGGCCAAAACTTGTAAAGATTGATCTTAGAATGCCAGATGGCCATCTTCTACTGGTTTTGTTGGATGGTTATATTGCAGGTCATGAACAATCCTCAACAATATTTAGTCAGTACATGCTAGAATCATGGGGTGAACTTTTTTTAATTTATTTGGTTAGAAGATCATCATTTGCTCCTCCACTACTGTCGGAAAGACAAGTTATTTATGGAGGTTTTCAGACTGGATTCATGACGGCATGAAGTTTTGGCCATCAATACTAGGTTTCAATTGGAAGCCCCCCCAATCCGATGGACGAGTGCAGCTATAGAAGGTCTTGCAGGTAATGATTCTCTGCACCCTTTGCTTATGTTTTGTAGAAAAGGTGACAATATTTGCAGCTTCATTGATCTGTGGGCGAAAAATATCCCATGAACATTCCTAATAACCAATTGAAAAACATAATGATAAGGATGGTGTTTGATGTTACAAGAAAATCATTCCATATTTCTTCGGAATCCTTTTCTAAAGAAAATCATTCAACTTGCAAATCTGCCACATATAGGTTTACCAATTCTTGGCATCAGTTTCTCATCCTTGGTTGATTTGGTTGTTTTGATTGGTGTTACTCCTAAATCTCATGGTGGGTATACAGATAATTACTTTGACTACATCTTTTTGGAGGAAGGACAATGGCATGGTCTTTATTTTCGTAGCTTCTTACCACTTAGTGGCTGCAATAATTTGACATTCTATGATGTGGCTTTCTGCACTTTTGATTGGCACAGAAGGCTATTTTTATTAAAGAAACTGGATTCAAGTTTTTTGAGAAAGCAAAAATGCCTTGCTCTTCTCACCAAACGTATTTGGTAGAATGTGATGGGAAGCTTATGTCAGTGTTTGTGGATTTCTTGGGAAGGTGGTTCGAATTTTTAAGTTAAAAAATTCCGATATGGTTTGGGTTGAAGTTGAAAGCATAGGTAACCATACAATTTATGTTAGCCATTTTTCATCTTTTGCCATACCAGCAACACATGGAATGGAGAATAGAGTTTATTTCCTAAAGATTCTATGGCAAAAATGCTGCTAGTATTCTCTCTGCTCGAGAAAGTTACACTACCATGGCAGCGAGAAAATCCTAGAAAGCTTTTACAACACAGAAGAACTATTATATTCTAGTTGGGTTCAACCCATGTTGTTTTAGATCACTAACTAACAACCTCTCTCATGATTCATAGTAATATCTATTTATTTGATTTTAGATTTCCTTAAAGACTTCACTTTCCCTTTCATTTCTTCCATTATTCCTTTGTCAAGTAAGCTCTTTGCTGGTCATATATGGTATCTGAAAAGGTAAGCTTTTATGATTTTTCTTAACTCTTGGATTGGTGCGTCTTGAACACTGTTTTATGCTCTCTCTGCAGACGTGAAGAGGGTTTCCATTTGGTTGTGTTCTAAGTTATATTTGATGGATGATACAGAGGTTGATGAAGTGATGTTACTGGTTAAATTACCTTGTAAATTCTTGGAAGTTCTCAGGGCAGTTTCAATAATTGAATGGTTTCTAAGGTAAGGCGCATGCAGTTTCGTGGTGTGTATCGCCATTTATTGTTCGGCGGCCGTAACCTTTAGACAACACAGATAGAAACAGTCGATTTTGTGATTAAGCGTTTAGCCCCTTTCTGATTTTCCATGTTCAAAAATAAAAAAGGGAGAAAAAACATGTGACAAGACAGATTTTGGCTCTTCTTTTATTTATTTATTTATGAGAGTTTAGAAAATCACAATTTTTTTATTTATTTATGAGGGTTTAGAAAATCACAACCTCTTCACATGCATGGAGAATGTTTATAACAATCATCCATTAAGTGGGTCTTTAGGGGTAAAGTTCACTCACGGATAGTTATGATGAATATTTTACGCGTTAAAATATATTGATTTTTTTTGTTTATTTATTATTAGATAAGTTTGAGTCAATTTTTATATAATTTAAGATTAATTCCTCCATCAATTTAATATATTTAAAAAAATTAATTTCTTTAATCTCTAATTCTAAAACTTAAATTTTGTACAACATCTAAAATAATATTTATTTACCAATAAATTTAACTTTTGAAGTTACAGTTGCTTTCTTTAACCCTCGTCAAGTAACCATATATTCATACAAGTTAGGTTTAAGTTTCTGGTCTTGAACTAGCGTAAAAATATTTTTTGACTTTTTTTAAT